GGGTCGCCCAAGTGCCCGTAAAACCATGTCCCGGGCTTACGTTTTCCGCCCTCTAATTACTCCTCCGGCGACTGACTGAACCACCATTAAAAAACCCCCCCCCCCCCCCCCCCCCGTCTTGATCTTGCCACCCAAACACGCAACGATGATTCCTCGTTTCGTAGTCAATCTCCCATTTGTACCAATTCCCCAGGTAACAGTCTTTGCAACCCCAGAAAGACGAGATACACTGCGACACCATCTCCTGCCAGGGGATATCCATGCCGAGTGCCTTGCCCATCATGTCGCAGCGGATCACGAGTTGCCAGCAGTACTCGAGATACTTGGCCAGCTCCTCTCTATTGTCCCTGTGCAGTGGGTCGTGCGGCACCTTGAATTTTCGCTTTGGCGTGTAGTCGGCGAATTCCATTACACTCATGGCCACCTCGACCGGCAGCCCTCTCGTGCAGAGCAGCCGCCGGACGTAGGGGATGTCGCGGATGTGCGGCTGGTACCCGACAAGCTTCTGGCAGACGAGAAACTCGTCGATTGGCATCAGGCCGTAGGGGAAACAGCCAGAGCCTGACCGCCAGTCCTTCTCCCTGAGCCGGCCATCCGCATCGAACTGATCTTCCTCGACGCCAAAGAACTGCCGATGCGGATGTGTGGCCACCTCTGAGGTCAGACCGGATAGTGTGCAGTTTCTGAGCGCGTATTGGTAAACCCTGGTTTGGCGGTAGTCCTTCTTGTTTTCGCCCGAGGCTTGGTCCCATGTCTCTGGGAGGCTGCGCAACACATTCAAGCAGATGAGCGCGTATAGTGCATCCCTGCAGATGTGCTCCCATCCAAGATCAAAAATCTGTAGAGAGGTTAGTAAACAATGGTCCTTGGTTTTGACACGCCTCGGTGGATAGGGATAGGGGGAGTCAGGGGTACCCCTTCTCAACTAGATACAGTACCTACAGCACCCAGAGAAGGTGAGGCAGATGAAAGAGCTGGGAATATGATTACTCACCATATCATAGCACTGGCTCCTTGACCAACAGCTCGCCAGGTCCACGTCAGGATGGGCGCACACGCGGAGAATCGGGTCCATCTCGCCGTGCAAAAGGAGAGTCTTGACCACCTCAAGGTTGAAGAAGGCGTCGCCGTTGACCTCGAAAAACTGGTAGCAGTCGTTGTATTCCCATTTTCGAAGGAATGAGGACGCTAGTCTCTCCTCGCAAGGGATGGTACATTTGCATGCTGCGTGCCCCCTATGTTGACAGCGTTGTGGCCTGGCCAGTTTTGCCTCGATCTGGGTATAAATGTCCAGTTGGAGAATGGTGGGGCTGATCTTCCTAACAATCCTGTCGTCTAGGATCAGGTCATCGCGCTCTGGCGGGTCGTATCTTTCGGGATACTTGCTGCGCTCCAGTTTTGAATCCTCGTCAATCGCTCGAACGAGCCCTTCCACGAAGTGCGTCAACTCCTTGCCCAGATCGCGGCTGAAGCGGGGGTGAAGATTAGTCGCGCCGTTGTAGCAAGAGCTTGAGCCGGCCCATTGCAGGTTTGAGGCCAAGGCTTTCCATGGAATGATGTGTGCTGTGTGCGCCATAATGTGAGGTGATACGTAAGCAATTATGGTGCGAATGGTCGAATTAAGGAGGAAGCTAATTATTACATAGCCAGCTTGTCGAGACTCCTCAACGTTCTTTTTTGAATGCAAAAGATATCGCGGCCAATGAATGAATGAGTCACACCGACTCACACCGGCATAATTAATCCCAGTTGGAGGAGCACCTAATTACATTTGACCACGCCGCAACTCCAAACCCCATGACTCTACCACTATGTGTGAAATCTAGGGCCGGCACCGTGGGGATTAGGCTACCTTGGACCACATGCCCTTCTGTCCCCTCATCCTTGTCTTAATTAAATCTCAATTACAGCACTCACACATTTGCATCCCTTCTGACAGAGGCTTGCAAGCCTAGGGCGCGTCGGTGGGATCCCTGGGGGGATACAGTTAGTCAATCAATCAAGGCTCGAATCCTCGAGTGGCCGTCTTTGACTAACCAGTCAGTCACAAGATTCTCATCAAGTCCGTCCATGGCTGCCATATCTTCCTCCGAGATGGCAAATTTCCCCACATCGGCGTTGCTGACGAGGCGGTCTTGGTTCGACGACTTCGGCAGCGGGACCATGCCGTGTTGTAGAGACCAGCTGGCGATATGGGAGAGTGGAGGGGCGAACGGTTAGTTGGCGCTTTCCCACGGTGATCGGGGGGAGGAGCTCGCTTACCGGATCATCAGCTGTGCTGGGGTACAGCCGTACTTGCTGGAGAGCGACAGGATGGTGGGGTGTTTCATCCGCATTGCCCTGGCGAGGGGCCCGTACGCCTCGACGATGATGCCATGTTTTGCGCAGGCGGCTCTGATCTCGGTATTCGTGTTGAAGGGGTGGACTTCAAACTGGTTGACAACAGGGCGGATCCGCGGGTTAGAGGCCATCAGCTCCTCGATCTAACTCGCTTCTCTCGTCAGCCAGCCGAGCTTGCTCGTCAGTCCCCAGACCGGGAGGGGGGGGGGCGGTGGTGTCTGCCAGAGAGAGAGCCTTACATGTCGGACGCCAAAGTTGCTGATGCCGGCCATCCTGACCTCGCCGTCGGCGATGGCGTCCTCGAGGGCCCTCCAGCTGGCCAGGCGGGCCTCGGAGCCGCCGTAGGGGCTGTGCAGGAGGAACAGGTCGACATAGCCGAGGCCGCAGGCGTCGACGGACTGCTTGATGGAGCGGCGGACCTGCTGGTACGAGGCCCTGTTGTTGGCCAGCTTGGTGGTGTAGAAGATGTCCTCCCGCGTGAGCCCGGCCTTGTTCTGGCTGCTGGAGAGGAAGTCCCGGATGGCCCGGCCCGTCTCGCGCTCGTTGTCGTACATCTGCGCCGAGTCGAAGCCCCGGTAGCCGGCGGCGAGGGCCCATCTGACGGGGTCCTTCACCTGGTTCCCGGGTATCATGTAGAGGCCCAGGTGCAAGAGCGGCATGGACGCACCGTTGGCCAGCTGAGTGCGTTGCGGTGAAGAGCGTTAGCCGTGTGGTTCTTCTGTCATCTTAGAGGCCGGGGGTTCCTGTGAGAGTACCTTGACTTTACTGGCTAGAGAATACATTTCAGACGACATTGCGATTTGCGATTGTGAATATGATATGCTGAGTGATATAATTGGCTGCTTGTGACTTGTGAGAACCGGTAGGCTGGTAGGTTGTCAAGATCGATTTAATTACTGATTCAACCCTCGCCCCCACTTGGGTGGAAGGCGGGGATGAGGTCATGAGTGGACACCGCTGCGGCAATTCTCACAAATTTTGACTTATGCTCGTAGTAATTATAGGCAGATCATAGGGCTGCTACACACCGGAGTTTATGTTCGTTTCATACATACGGCAGCGACAGACGGATGACTCTTCGCAAGGAGGCGGACTCGAAATACTCTGCCCGCTCGATTGCTGGGTTTCTAATCCCGCCTTGTATTATTTGGACTGCCACAAAGATCACAAGCCCTCCCTTGTTGCTACTCAATCAGCCCCTAGGCCCCAGCAATCCCCCTCTCGGAAAATATGCTGGCAGCGTATACGATGGCCCAGCTTCATTACCGTGGACTTGTTCCCTCCCAAAATTGCACGCGTAATTCATACCTCGACATCGACATCCTTGCCCTTCTTCAACTCTCCGCCGATGGACTTGCCATGCATGCGCCGCTCCACTAAATCCCAAGTCAGCAAACCAGAACTCCGTCTCAGGCTTGGGGGCCCAAGCAGCAAAAAGCGGGAAACTTTACCTTTGTCTGTCAGATGCACCTGTGCGTTCTTGGTCAGCAGGCTCCCGATGATGGCAACGCCGCCAAAGCCCAGACTGGCGAGGTAGACGGTTCTGAACGCCTGCGAGTAGGCCATTGGGATGGCGCCCTGGATGGCGGCCGAGATGGAGGACGTCAGGCCCGGCAGCTTTGCCCAGGAGCTCCCCTTGACGGCGGCGACCAGCTCGGGGATGCGGTCGGCGGGGAGGCCTGCGGCAACGGCGGCGGCGCCGACGTCGGCCGTCAGGGTGGTGGTGAGGCGGTTGGTGAGGATGGTGGTGTAGACTGCGACGGCGATGGCGCCGCCGGCGGCGCGGATCGAGGCCAGCAGGCCGTTGGCGAGGCCGATGTCCTCGGGCTTGCAGAACAAGGGCGCCAGGGAGAGACACGCGAGCTCGATGAAGCCGACCCAGAAGGGGCCGATGATGGTGAAGGCGATGCCCATCTCCTTAGTCGACGGCGTCAGCGCCGCCAGCCCCGAGACGAAGGCGACCATGGCGCAGGCTGCGAAGATGATCAGGTACCGAGAGTTGCCGCCGTACCGGATGATGACGCCGGCGACGCCCTGCCCCAGGTTGGTCGACGCCGATACGGTGCAGGATAGCCAGCCTGCGTATGAGACGTTGGTTGTGTACATGGCGGCCACTTGTTGGGGCCTTTTGGGGGGGGGGGGACATTCTCGTCAGCAACGTCAAACGATACGGGATCGGGGATTAACGCAACACAGGGAGGGGATGGGGTCGGGTGGGGTAAGAGAAGGGGAGAACATACCAAAGCAGAACGGCCGAGTAGTAGAACATGGAAGCGACGGTGGCACACATGACCAGGCTGACGAAGCCGCGGTTGCGGAAGTAGGACATGGGCATCACCGGGTATTTCAGGTCGGCGTAGCATTCCCAGAATACGAAGACGACGATGACGACAAAGCCTATGATTATGGTCGCTATAACATTGGGAGAGCGCCATGGATAGAGCTAGACAAGACGGCATTATGGTTAGCCTGGAAGAAGACGGAAAAAGGCCGGGCGGGGAGAGGACGTACGCCACCACCCCAGCTCAGGCCAAGCAAGAACAGAGTAAGACCGGATGTCCAGAGGACCATCCCAACGTAATCGAGCTCGCTCATCTGCTGCTTCTTGGACTTCTTCTCGTGCAGCATGTCAAAGTTCGGCGGGTGATAGAAGAAGAAGAGCAGTATAGCGGCGAGGGCGATTAGGATTATGCCGAGGATGTAGCACCACCTCCAGCCCATGCCGATGGCGATGAACCTCCTGGCGATGGTGGGGCCGAAGGCCGAGAAGGGGGCCGCGGCGAGGAAGATCAAGGAGATGACGACGGGGCGGTACTTGTTGGGCACGAGCTCCCCGATGGCGACGCCGAAGCTGACCTGGATGCACTCGCCCATGCCGTAGAGAAGGTTGCCGCCGATGAGCGTGTTGACGTTGGGCGCCCCCGCGGCGATGGCGCTGCCGACCAGGGCCAACAGGTTGCCGCCGATGAAGAACCAGCGGCGCCCGAACAGGTCCGACAGCCGGCCCTGAATGAGGTACACCAACGACTGGCCCAGGGTCCGCGAAATGTTGACCCACGAGATGTTCGCACTCGGGCCTATGGAAGGAGGAGCGTTGGCGCCGTGTCAGCATATCCCGATCAGCTCTCAGCATTGGGGACAGTCCAACAGGTGTTACTGACCGATGTCCATATTCGTAAACGACAAAACGTTGGTCGTCATGACGAAGATGATGTACGACGAGATCACCCCAAGGGTAAGACCGAGGATAGTCCCGATGAAGGGAAGGCTCGTGTAGTAACCCGGTGGGAGACTGTATTGCGTGGGGAGCAAGTCAGACACGGTCAATTGGACTTGATAAGGCGAGGAGGCTTGACTGACTCGTCTCCCAAAGCGATCTCGTTGATGGAAAGGGCATCTGAACGGTCGCTATCCTCAACTCTAGCAACCGTTGGCACACTCTTCTCCTGAGGAGAAGAGCTGATCTCCTCTGCCATGGACGATGCTGGGGTGGTCATGGAGGCTCGACCTGGTGAATGGATCTCTGTCTTGCCGTCTGTAAGGCACGGGGTCGATGAAGTCGTATGTTTGGTAGGGCTTGTTCGGATGGCCTCCACCGTCTGGCAGGTGGGGAAGCATGCTGGATTTATATGAGAATGGGTTGGACACAGCGAGGGCGTATTCTTTTGGAGAAATCGTTCCTGAAATCCAGACCATCGCCGCTCGAGTGCTAGAAGTGGCACTGAACTGCGGAGAATCCGGGGTAGAAGGGTTGAGCACCTCCTGTCGTCCGGGGTAGTATGGGGTTGTCTGGGGTTGTCTGGAATCGTCTGGGGAAAGGTTGGCGCTACTGACTCATCTGGTTGGGATGTTTGCGGGGAAGTCAGTTTCGAGCATGAAGTTGAAGACATCAGTGCGGAGTACGGAGCACATCCGCCCATAGCTTCGAGTCCTCGTCGCCAAGGGTAGTCGTTGCCAAGCGAGCTTATTCCTGGCGCTAGTTCACTGATCCGTAAAGCTTACTCCAGAGTGCCAAGATACTGAATAAGCTATCCACATCGAGGAGGCATGGATCAACAGGCGCTGATTCATTGACTAGTCCCCGCGCTTGCCGTCGAGCTGTCTTGATGTCTTGATACGCCTATGCAGACTATCATCGTCTCTCTTGTGACTATTGAAACTCGATCGCGTCAATAGTCTGCTCTGCCGCTGTCTAGTCCGGGACTTGGCACCACGGATATGGATCTCTGTCTCGAAGCTGCTGCTTAGTCCTCCCGGGTGACACCGTATTGGCCAAATTCGTAGAGCGACCCAACGGGCACGCCCCTATTCTCGGCAATGAGCCCAATGAGCTGCTGGCCAATATCCTTAACGTCATTGTATTGCTGCAGCAGACGGATGTGCTTTTGGACGGTGGCTTGAGGAGGGCCACTGCACCTGGCTGGTCAGCAAGGAGAAGCGGATTGAAGGGAGGAGGGGTAGGAGGAATTAGGTCTCCGGACAGAGGATGTTCAAGGGGGGGAAGGGGTTGTGAAGGAAGAAGGAGGGAGCAGGTCGGGCTCGGGCTGAGGCTGAGGCAACAGGCTTTAATTCACTGTAACTGACTGACCCGAGTTGCAGTTCCTCCAGCTCAGAAATGATGTCGATGAGCCTCCTTATCTGGGCTTCTCCGGCAGCGAGGTTCTCGGACTTGTCATTGGGAGTCAGCCAGGCCATTCATTCATTCTAGGCCAACTGGCGGGAGTATCGCTCACCATCTTGGAAATGTAACTGACGAACTTCTCGAGAGAAGCAGCAGCATCAGCACGGCCAGCCGCACTTACCTCGAAGCGATCCCCGGGCGCCGGCCCGGTGATGGAGAAGGCGGGGCCATCAGGGCTGGCATGGCGGCATCGGATTGGACCCCAGCACGACGGATTGGAAGTCGGCCAAGCGAGCGTCTGTTCGGCGCCGAGGACTAGTGCCTTGTGGCTTGCGAGGTGTTCCCTGATTGCCGAAGCTACCTCCTGACAACCGGGCGCTTCTGGAACGTGGTTGTTGAGCCACGTGTGGAAAGCTGAGATTGACTCAATCTGGCCCTGCACCAGCGTGTGGAGGCTGGTTTGAATGGCTAAAGACGGATTGCCGGGTTCCTTGCCTTCGACAGTGCGTTCAGCCATGCTGTGGGACTCTTTGCAGCATGGAATGCTCGTATCGAGAATGAATTTGCTGGGCGAAATGAGATGCGCGACGGTTTTCAGTTGCAAATTTGTAGTGGGTATCTTTTATTTTTTTCTCTGTTCCAAGCGTGATCATGAACGTGTACCGGGTTAATGCCCAAAAAATCAACACAACAGCACCAGCCAGCACCAAGACCAAGCAGCAGTAGTACCAGCAATAGATAGAAGACACAATAAAAAAAAACACCGTCACCTCAAACATGTGATGACTATGTAGCGTTCCCTTTTTTCTGCCCGAAGAGATCGGAGATGCTGAGTCTCCGGCCCGTGACCTTGTCCCGACTCGAGTTCAGCTCTGCTTGTTCTGCCAGCGCTTCGTTCGACATTCCAGCCGCCGTGTCTTCTCGGTCGATCAGCCGGACCCGGCGCCAGGCCTCTTGGATGACGGCCATGTTGACCTGGCGCGTGTCATCCTGATCTGCGTGGATCCAGATCCCGATGACCTGTGTGTCTCCCCCGTCTTCCTCCGTCGCCACACCACTCGCGTTCTCCACGTTGAACATGATCAGCTCGTCCGAAGCCTCGCACACGCTCGCCTTGTTGAGTTCCACGACGAGGTTGTTAAGCCCGCGCCGGTTGAGAACAAACACGCATGCCCGCAGTATTGTGAGTCCTGCTATCACCCGCGGCTCTTGCTCGCACACGAACAGCGTCCCCTCGACGCTCGTCTTGTCCCAGCTCTGTGACGTCGGCGAAAAGTTGTACACGACGGCGTTCGCGGCGATGGAGACGATGCCTGTGATGCTCGGGAGGTAGCGGCGCAGGACGCCGAGGTTGAGGTCTGTGTTTGTTCGGTGGGGGAGTTGCGCGGCCGGAGGAAGGTCTCGAGATTCCATGTAGTGCGCCGCATCCGATTCGTAGTCAGATGCTGGGACTGTATGGGGACCGCCGCTGCTCGGGTGATGGCGATGCCGCGACTTGCGCGGCGTTGTTCGGCTCATGGCTCGTGGCCTGCGGTTCGTGGCTTGAAAGGCTACAGTGGGCTGAGATCTACAACTCGGGAAAGCTTGATTAGTTAGGTTGCAAGTCGTGAGGTGAGGTGAGGCTGTAGTGGGAGAGAGAGATCAGGATAGATGGATGCAGTTACCAACCTGGGACAGAGGTGCAGGGTTAACCTGTTGCTGCCGCAATCAATGGGTGTATGCGCGTCGGTCAAATGCAAATAGACAGTAATGCTGTGGGCTGGTTTGAAGGCGAAATTCTTTAGTTATGGTTGCTATCTGCCCTTTTTTGACGTGTCTTGCTGGCCGCCCAAATTCGAAGGTTAGAACTAGGTACGCATGTAGCGCACAGTGAAGCTCCCCCGCGTCATCATTTCCCCGCTATTCCGCCCCCACTATCGACAAGTCCCATCAGGTCCACCAGCCCTGCAGAAGAGAGCGCGGCCCAGCTCAAGTGCTTTGCGACAGTGCCAGCCGACCGCGCGGTTTTAGTTTATTGATACTCCTACATCCGTAGAATTGCTCGGTTCCTTCACTTGCGGTTTTATCGTTCGTCTATCGCTCAGAATACTTCTGCAACCCTCCAAATCGAAGCCAAATCGACGTCATCCCGGCACCTCTGCGCTGTCCATCCCAGACCAGAACGGCATGCTCCGGGATAGCTAACCCAAGAATTTGGAGGCTGCAGCTCGAATGTGTCGGGACATCTTTGTCGCTGGGATATAAACAGCACCGGCACCGGGACCAGCGCCGTCGACGATCCTGACCTCGAGTCCCCTCCGCCATGGCGCATGTCCACCACGAATCCCGCCCTCCCAGCCTTGCGGCCACCGAACCCGAGGACCTCATCAGCGGCCCCCACTCCCTCCACCGCGCCGTCCGTGCCCGGAGATCCGAATACGTCCGGCCCCATCGAATACGCATCAAGGTGGCCACTTGGAATGTCGCCGCCTCCCCCGGCACGGATAAGGACCTGGCCAGCTGGTTTGTCGAGGGCGAGGGCGTCGACAAGAGCATCGCAACTCTCAGCCCTTCGTCGCACAACCCCGCCGTCGTCGAGCGCGCAGATCCGAGCAGGTCTCCCGAGACCGACCCCGACCTCGACTCCGACTCCGACGCCGTGCGGCTGGTAGGCGGCGACAAGATTGGTCTCTACGTGCTGGGCCTCCAGGAGGTCGTGGACCTGGGGCCTTCCCAGTACCTGAACCGGGTCGTTGCAGAAGACCCGACGATGGAGAAATGGAAGGCCGCTTTGGAAGCCGCCCTGCCGGACGGCTACCAGCTCGTATCCTGCGAGCAGATGTCCGGGTTGCTCCTGCTGATATACGCCTCTCCCGAGGTTGCCTCCACCGTCGGCAACGTCAGCTCCTGCAGCATCGGGACGGGCATGATGGGGGGATGGATCGGGAACAAGGGCGCCGTGGCGACGCGCATCGTCCTGGGCGAGGCCACCAAGATGGGGTTCGTCAACTGCCACCTTGCCAGCGGCCACGATACCGCCGCCTGCGAGCGCCGCGTCTGGGACGTCGGCCAGATCTCGAGCCGCACCAAGTTTGCCCCGATAAGCTACGCTGGCGTCTCCGAGGAAGATAGTGACACGATTGATGCCCAGGATTTCGCCTTCTGGTTCGGCGATCTCAACTTCCGTCTGGATGGCCTGCCTGGCGACGACATCCGCCGGCTGCTCATGCTGCATACGCGTGGGGAATACGACCTGAGTAGGAAAGGGGAGCCGGGTCGCCCCGAGGGTGAAGGAGTCGTTGTCCAAGTGTCATCAGAAAGCAGCGACGATGGCACCGACAGGGACTCGGTAACGACGAGGTGGACCGAACCGAGTTTTGACGACTCCTCCGTGTCGCTGCCTGATCCAGACGACTTTGAATCCAGCCCCCACGAGGACCCTGCATCATTACAAGCGACACTGGACTCTCTCCTCCCACACGACCAGCTGAGACGTATGATGAGGGAACGGAAGGCCTTTCACGACGGCTGGCGGGAGGGCACGATAACTTTCCTCCCAACTTACAAGTACGACGTCGGTACAGTTAGCCTGTTCGACTCCAGCGATAAACGAAGAGCTCCTAGCTGGTGTGATCGCATCTTGTATCGCACAAGAGCCGACACAGAGCGGTACAAACAAAAGGTCAAGGAAGAAGAAGACGCCCGAAGGAGGGACGAGGAGATGAAGGCCCGCGGGATGGATCACGCCGGCGATGATGACGAGGTGCTGTTCGACTACGACCCTGACAGCGACGGAGATGCGCACCCCCTAGGTAAGGCAGTCTTCGACTACGACGAATATGACGAATACGACGAGGACCAAGCGGGCGGCCAAGCTCCGACCGCCGAAGGCCTCCTCGACCGCATACAGGCCGACATTTACACTTCACACCAGCGGATCATGTCATCGGACCACAAGCCAATCGTATCCATCTTCTCGATCGACTACGACGCCGTCGTGCCAGCGCTGAGGGCGAGGGTACATGCCGAGGTTGCCCGGGAATTGGACCGCGCCGAGAACGAAGGCCGACCGGTGATAACCCTCGTGATCGACGGGCACGAGTTGGCGCGTCCAAGCCAGGGAAGCGACAGCGAGTCCTGCAGCCACGCCGTGGACTTTGGAGAGATCCGGTTCCTGAGAAGGGAGACGGCCTCGCTGACGTTGGCAAACACGGGAGGCGTCGCTGCCAGGTTCTCCTTCGTGGAGAAGCCGACGACGGAGGAGGAGTCGGGGGAGCCACGGCCTGTGCCCTGGTTGACGACGTCGTTTGCGCATCCCAACGAGGAGATCGACGCGTCCGAGTTTGGGGACGAGGTGGTGCTGGAGCCCGGGGAGACGGTGAGGGCATTCCTGGAAGCCTATGTTGGCGACGCGACGCACGCGCGCATGCTCAACGACGGCCAGGTCAACCTGGAGGATGTCCTCGTCCTGCGTGTCACCGACGGCCGTGACCATTTCATTCCCGTCCGGGCGGTCTGGTCGCCGACCTGCATCGGCCGCTCCATCGACGAGCTCATCCGCGTGCCCAACGGTGGGCTGAGAGTATTCATTGCGTCCAGATCGAAGAATAACAACAGCAACAATAACAACCGCATGGGATCCATACCGTACGACCTGGACGTCCACTTCGCCGCACCGAAAGAGCTCTTCAAGCTCACCGAGGCCGTCGAGTCTCTGACGGAACGTGCCTTGGCCGACGAGCTGATGCTCGAGGAGCACCAAGTGCCCAAGGATCCCGGATGGCCGTTGGCCGAGAGCTCCTGGAAGTACACGGACAAGGAAGCCCGGAGGACCCACAGCATGAGGATCATCGACGCCCTCGACAGCGACAGGCCGATCGTGGACGCCTTCGACCCGGAGACGCCGTCGATCGAGCGCCTCGAGGCCGTCAGCGAGGTGCTCCTCCTCTTCCTCGCGAGCCTGACCGACGGCGTCGTGACCATCCCGCTCTGGGCCCGCATCGAACAGGCCCCGCTCGCCGTGCTCGGCCAGGCTGGCAGCGGCAACCCGGCGTCGAAGCAGCCGGCGGAGGAGGCGGCCGAGGACGACAAGACGGCCGTCCTAGACGTGCTCTCGTCGGCGCCGAACCACAACATCTCGTTCGTCTTCCTCGCCTCGACCCTCGCCAAGACTATCTCGGAGCTCGCTCCCCTGAGCAGGGCCGACCTCGAGTGCCTGAAGAGCGTGCCCGGTCAGGGGCTGGGCAGCCTGGGTCGGCGGTCGCTGGTGTTCAGGCGGGGCGGGACGGCACTCGGAGCTGCTGCTGCCGCCGCGGCTGCGCTGGAGAGGCGGCAGGCCAAGGAGCGGAGGTTCGCGGAGATACTGGGGAAGATTGTGTGCCGGGCGGTGGTGCCGGGCAAGGACAGGGAGAGGAGGAGTCTTGAGGATCGGCAGAGGGCGGTGATGGAGCTGTTCTTGAAGCGCAGGGAGGATGGGTGATGGGTGATGAATGGTTGACGATAGATGATGGACAATGTCCAACATACACATGCAGAGTAAGCATCCCCGAAGACCGGCGAGGTTGCCGCATGTTGTAGAGGTATCGGCAGCCCTCACTGCTGTCCCAATCACAACCCCGCAGTCATTTTGTCAACCTCTGGATTGATAGACTAGAGATGTTTACTAGATATTTGGGAAAGCAACGGGCGGACATGTCCTGTACTTCGAGGAGAGAGAGGGGAGTCGAGATTTGGGCAGGCGTTGGCGTCTAGATAGTCCTAGTCCCATGGGCCCCCGCCCAAGAACAATGGGCTTCTCATCACAGAATACTCTGATCTTCTGATTAGATCAATATGCCAAACAAGAAGAGTTGATTGTGGTGCTCAAAACGGGGAAATAATCGTACTTGTACTACATTCCCGGACTGTTCACGCCCGCTCCGGGCCGTGACGCATGGCTCGGGCCGTTGGAGGATTTTCTGAAATTGGAAGCTGTCACCGACTAACAGGCCCAGGCTGGAAGGTATGGGCAAGTCCAACATATGACTGACAGTCGACAACCTACACAGTGCCCAGACACTGCAACGGGCCAACAATCCGGACGAGTTTCGAGCTGACGGCACCACCTAACTTGGCTAACTAGATATTCACTTCTCAGGACGACCTCTCCAAGACCGCCTTCCGCCTCGTCAAGCACCGACTTGTGGCAGAACGGCACACGATTGCTTCCACCCAGCTTCCATCTTCATATCCTTATCGAACATTCATTCACTCATGGACTGTATTGCTCCTCGCTGAAACTCCAACCCCAGTCGGAGCCGAAACCATGTCTTTGACAGAGCGCAAGGCGCTCCGAAACATCATCCGACGCCGCCTGGAACTGTTGGAGATGATCCAGCTGGCGCTGGAGCCCATGGGGTTGTTAGAAGGGACGTGTGCCCCCGCCGGTGCTGAGACCCCCGGAGGCCAAGCGACCGGGAGCGACGCTCCAGGCGGGACGTCATTGCAGATGAACATTTCCTCCTGTTCTCCCCACGAACCTGTGCTACCCAAGGATGAGCCAAACAACGATGCCAACACGACAGAACACACCGCCAGCCCGGGCAAAACCCAACCTACAGGTGAGTCTTCCATGTGCCAACGGCAAAGTCGAACCGCACACGCACACAGCCAGTAACTCACACCCACCCTCTCCCCCCAGGCCCAACCCTACCTCTCAACGCCGCCTCCCCCAAGCACAGCGGCCCCCCTCCGTCCGCACCACGCCTCCCGATCGAGCCCGCACCCACAGAAGCCGAGATGGAGAAGTTCCGCGCCTACCACCGCACCCTGCAGCGCATCCTCGGCGCCGCGGACCGCGCCACGCACGCCGTCCGCGAGACGCACCGCCAGCGGACGGCCGACCGCTGGGCCGCGGCCGCGGCCGCGGAGCGGCTGCACAGGAGGTCAAAGGGGCCGCGGCGCCGGCGGTGGGTCATGCAGGCCGTCGTCGACTGGGCCGATGATGCGCGGCCCGGGGTGGGGTGGGAGCCGGAGGTCCAGGAGGAGACGGATGACGAGTTGGGATGGGGAAGGCGGCTGGGGCCTAGTCGGTTGGCCAAGGGGGGGGTCACGCCGGATGATTGGATTTGGGAGGAGGGTTGGCGGGAGGCGGGGGCGATTTCTGCGGCGGGGTATGCGTATCGGAGGGATGGGGAGGGGAGGAGGGTGCATCACCTTTGAAGGGGTGAGTCCCGAGGTTGGGATGGATGAGGCACGTCGGCGCCCCTGGCCTGGATATGGAGATCTGCATGGATGACTAAGGGGGAGACGGACAAGCGCGGAAGCACACTACGAATTGGATGACTCGTTTTATCAAGGATCAAGGAACCGGGCTTGCAAGGCGTTGGGAGTTGGAGCACTCGGACTGCGGAGCGTGGAGATCATTGGCCTTTATTGGGTTGCACTTTTGCTGCCGTTTCATTGATTGCTGAATTATCATTCATCCGATTGAACATTTGCAGGTTGCTGCAGGTCGTTGAGCTTCACACGTCACTGGTTGGTATCTAGATCGTTTGCATACGGAGTGAGCATGGGAAGGACCGAGCTACGAAGGGCTAACGAGGAAATTGGGGATCAAAGGTCTTGTTTGGATCACGCGGCTTTGGACCAACCAGGGTCCCGGACGGAATATTGCGAGTGTGATATTAAGTATTAACGGGAAGTGAGCGTGGTAGGACAATCTGCACCACCTTATTAAACACTTCCTCGTGCTTCCGCCCCCGGAGTTAGTCCCAAGAAACATATAATCACAAGCATTTCCATCGAGATTTCTGCAATCTGCACATGACCAATCCCCCCTGTTTACGGCCAGAAGACTTACAAGTTCGCCAGCATAGCGGCGCCGCCAAAGAGCGCGGCAGCGCCAACCGCACCGGTCCTAACAGGCACACCGGGCGCGCTACTGGACGATGTCTTCGCCGTGGTAGTCGTCCGAGACGCGGCCGGGGCTGTCGTGGTCGCCGTCGGGACCCCCGAAGTGAAGGGCACGCCGGATGTGCTGCTAGCGCCCGAGAAGGCGGGCGGGTTGCTGGTGCCGGTGGCGGCCGGGGTGGCGGTGCTGTTCATTGGGTTGAGGACGCTTCGGGTTGGGGAAAAGGTCGTGGGTTAGCCAGGATAATCAGGCGGAGTTTGGGGAAGGAGAGGAAGAGGGAAGAAATACTTGTCAATGACGTGTAGAACGCCGTTGCTGACGAGAATGTCGCTGTTGATGATCCTGGCACTGTTGACGAAGACGGTCCCGTTTCGGACGGTTATGGTGACGTTTGGGTGGCTGAGTGTCGTAAGGGTGCCGTTCTTGAAGTCGGAGCTGTACACAACGGTGCCGGGGACGACGTGGTATTGTACCAAACTAGCCAGCTGCTGGGAGGTCAGGTGTTCGACGGCGCTGCCCACGGCGCTGAAAGCTTCGTTGGTCGGGGCAAATATGGTCACGTCTCTCTCCAAGTTGATCTTATCTGCCTGATCAGAGGCTGCCATAGCCCCGGCTGCAGCGGCGAGGTTCGAGTCGATGAGGGTCTGGGTGTCATTCTGGGGGATCGTGAGCACTCGGTCGATGATGTGGATAGTGCCTCCGGTGAAGTTGGTATCCTGTGGTCATTGGTCAGCATCCGAAGGACTCCCTCCGTCTTGACCCTAAAGAGGCCAGGTTCCTACCGGTGTCACGACACTCGAGTTCTCCCTCAGGCCCGAATAGAAGGTGACATTGCCATCCACCACCGTCGCCTCAACCCTCTGGCCGCCCGTAATATTGGCGTAAGTGGCGTTTGTGAGAGAAGTAGGGATGAACAAGGGACGACTGGCGTCGGTGATATTGGATGCATAATAGGTGCCGTTAAGGACATGGTAGCTGAGGAGAGCTTCCAAAGCCCCAGAGCCAATTCTCGAGATGGAGCCGAGGGGCGACTGATCTAGGAACGTTTGTATGGCATTATTGTTGGGGGCTAAGATGGTGACATTTGAGGCCTTGTTCAAGGCTGCGACAATGCTCGGGCTACCTAGAAGCAGGCTGTTGAGGGCGGAGAGACTCGAATTCTGAGATGCCAGCGCCTCTGATAGATTCCGAGCGGCGATTTGAGTGGCCAATGCCAGGGGCAGGAAGTTCTTGAGTTGCATTCTGGTCAGCGTTCTCCGAGAGGCAGTTCAGAAAAATTGTCCACAATTCACCGGGCAGCTCCGGCCATCACAGGCCAAAATAGGGACGGAGCTCGACGGCCATTTAAGTAGAAAATAGACGCACCGGGCACGCACGTGGAGTGACGTGAGATAACGTGGGGAGCCATCTCCATCTCCATCATCGAGATGACAGAATCCAATAATGTGAAGGAGAGCAGCACCATGATTGACAAGCTGAACATGGAAGTGGCGCGCATATTCGCGAGTTGTGACATCATCTAGTACCCTGACGCGGCGGCAACCCCACTGGAGTGATTGCCGGACTCCGACATTAGCGCGGGACGTACCCCGCGATTGCTGCCGGGGTGATCCTGGATGCGGCTCCTCCGAAGCCCCAACGTCGCTCGCTGCATCTCCGAGACGACGTCCACGAATAATCAGCAGTAGATCTATGCATTTTTTTTTGTGATCTTGAGATAAATGAGCGGGACGAGGGGGAGAAGAAGGAGGAGGAGACCATGTTGACTTTTCGGAAAGAGGACGTGGCTCCCTCCCTAGCCAACATCGTCAGGCTCGTCGCTTCTAGTCGGTCGCCTAGAACATTGACCTTCCGTGTCTGTATTCCGCTGAGAATGAAAGGAGAGACGCACAGAATTTACTGCTGGGGATGATCAAGAATCCAAACTTTTCTTGTTTGCTTTAAGTCTTGACTCACCCGAAGCTTGGAGGGGCGTCTAATCGCAAACTGAATTTTGTGGGCAGACATTTGCAAAGACGACATGTTCAACTACGTAGGAATAGCACGCCGGTTCCTGGCAAGACACCAACCCAAGATGTCTCTACCTTGACCCCAATCTTGATCTTAGAACCGGTATTTGCACCCTGATCGATTTCCTATCGAATACAACTACGCCGTATCCTCTACACGGAATGCAGTATAAATATTAAAAAAATTGTAACCATGGGGGCGGTAATTTGACTTCCCGCTGGATAACTTTGTCCCCGTGGAGAAAGTTCGACGATATATATACATGGAACCTTAACCGCTTGCGTTGAACGCGCCGGTTGTCACCGTTCTCGATTTGCACTGGACAATGATTTCGGCGATTATCTCTTGAACTTTTGCACTTGACGTGGACACCAGGCGAGCGCCCTTCCATGCTTATTCTGTACATGTTGGTTACAGTGTTGGCTAGAGTTGAACTTGAACTTGACCTCGCCTTACTCACGTGCCAGGGGCCTCAGGTCACAGGCTTATTCCAAGGTTCCTGGTTGTTTTGGATATGGATTGGAGGGACCCACGTGACACCCATTGCCCTAACCACCGCTTCCTCTCAAAGTTGTTGGCCTTCACAGTCAAACCCAAAACTTCTACCTGCAAAAATTCAAATACCTTCCGCACCACGAACTTTCCAAAGAGTCACCGCCCAGCAAAACAATCATCACCGCCATCGCTCTTTCCATCGTGCATCGCCATCATTGCCATTATCATCATCGGCATTATCAAATATCATCACTATCAAAATCCAAAGTAAGTACGACATTCCGTGCGGATTGAAATTTTCACTCGTGCCAAACCATCCGTCCGATGCGAGTACATCGGATGGACGGCATCTTCGCTTGAATCACTGGCATCAGAGATGGCCCTGCATCATCATATCCTGCCTTCTGAAGGATATTTTCACGCTACTCTCCCCCCACAGTAACTGATCTAGCCGAAACAGCAATCCATCAACTTCACCATGAACTCCGGGATTTTCATCGCCGCCCAGATGGGCCAGAACGTCGTCTCCATCCTCTCGGCCCCGTTCTCGACCCTTTACCCTTCTCGACCGGGTCTGAAACCGTTTGATGTCACGACTTTCGTCCCGGCGGTCCTGTCGGCCCAGCACCAGCGTGATCTTCACGCATATGAAGACAAGGACATCGAAATGTCTACTTCCGGGTTCGACTCCCGACGCTCTCGCACGCTTTCGGAAAGGTTTGTATTCTGACAACTCCCGATCCTTCTCACCCTTAGCCGTCACGTACATACTCTAACAGTTTCCAGCTCCATCTCGTCCACGCCCAGCATATTCGACCGCTCGGGGGACTCCGACAGCGATGCCACCAGCGCCACGGGCGAGGAGTCGGTGGAGTGCTCCTACCAGTTGACGGACACTCGCACTGCCTGCGAGGGCACCTGCGAGGCGTCGCAACTCCAAGGGCTGAAAAACATGTCGGACTAGGGGTCCGATGATGTCGTGTCCGAGGAGATTGCGGCGTCTGGCGGGTCTCTCGCGGAAGCGCGAGTGGCCATCAACTGGCAGGAGCACTTCTACGTCTCCGAGCTCGGGTGCCTGGGAGTCCACCGCGACTACAACAACTACTGCTTCCGAAAAGCAGGATACAGGCTCGCGGCCTGCAGCTGGCACCTGGTGCCATTCGACGACGGATACGAGTCGGCGTCGTCGCCCGGCGTCCCGACGCTGGCGCTGACGACGCCCGACGGCCTCGTCTTTGGCCTCGAGGACGGCGCCGCCGAGTACGAGGAGGAGGAGGCGGAGGAGGAGGAGTGGGAGGAGGACTCTTGGTCCAGAGAGGTTGGCGTGGATGGCCACGGCTTGATGTTCGTCAAGCGTGACGCCCAGAACGAGGTGTTGAGGGGGTGCCTGTCCCCTCTCCAGGTCTGCACGTGGCAGAAGCTGGCAGTACCCAGCCTCTTCTCCACGGGCTCCGGCCCACAGCTCAAGCTGGAGACGCCCGAGGGAGAGGTGTTTTACCTCGATGATCTCGCGTACTATCCCGGCGAGAGCTGTTGGGCAGACCTGGACGAGGAGGACTGAGGCGGGAGGGGAGGGTGGAGGGGGAGCGGGACGGGGGAGATTCGTAATTGCATAATAACATGGGCACAGTCCCCCCTTAATCACTAATAATTGATTACGAGTCATCAACACCATCTGATTCATCCTGGTTCCTCCTTGGTTGTGAGGGTGAACCCAGGGATGCCTGGCCAGACAATGTGATAATTGGTAAGGGCTAGTTTCTTCCACCCTGGCTCGCTCTTTGTCTGGTTCTCGACGTAACAACCCAAGGTCCTGGATCCGCTGCTGCATCTCTTTCTATCTATCCTTGTGATGTAAAGGCCTGTGTGGCGAAGTAGGCTTCGATCTGCCGTACAACAGGCAGCCAGGCCACCTCCTTCAAGTCGTAGTGCTCTCTTCTTCGAATACAGCCCGGTCCTTCGCAGAGGACACACGTTAACCCTGCCCCAACACGCGTCGGGACATATTTTTTTTTTTTTTTTTTTGGGGGGGGGGGGGGGATATGTATTCAGCCCCCCTCCAAATCTAACCTTTCGAAAAAAACCTGTACCTCCCAGAGGCCCACACGAAAACAAATTGCCACGGTGGAAAAATAAATAGAAAGTCTGGAAT